CGGTAAATCGACAAATCGCGGAAACCCGTAAAATGTTAAAAGATAGTTACTATTCAAAATTATTCCTAAATATTTTTAATATACTTTTTACTAAACACATTTTTTATCAGTTTCATTTCATATCTTTTTTCATTTCTTTTGCCTTCATTGAATTTCTTTCAGTGTAATAAACCGGCGATCTCTCACGTACCTCAATTTGAAGGTCACAAAACTTGGTCCCCCTCACTTCAATAGTGCCGACGGTTTTTGTCGCTTCTCTACGATTGTTCTTCTCTGGTTTGCACACTGTTTCTGAGCTACAGGGCTTTTCAAAAATTTTGCAATTTGGGATAGCCCACGTATCTCTGTTATTGTGAATGATATCGATAAGGTGAAAACTGTTTGTTGTAGCATTTTTACGTAGAATACAGTGGCGTAGTCTGTTTTTCTACGAAAAAAATATTTTTGAAAATATGAACTAAAGTTATGTTTTTTCCAGTGGAACACCCACATATTATTTATAAATCATATAATCTGCCTTGCTATGAGCTTCTCAAAAATATATATATATATATATATTACTCTATATTTATTTTCACTACTTACTGCAATATTTAAAAGATATTACTTTCTTATTAGTAGGCCGTGATAGATAACAAAAAAATCAAAATGGTATTTACTAAAATAGTCATACCCATATTAAAATTTTATTTGGGATTGAAATATTTTAGTTTTGAACTGTTAGCACTGAATCTCTTAATATATTTTTCTTTTTTTTTATAACGAGATTTATTATAACGGGATGGGTTTGCAAATATCCGAGGGGTGTCTCACTCGGGTAAAAAATGTACACGTACTGCCAAAATATCTTTCCACTACCAAGCGACTGCCAATGACTACGAAGAAGACTGCCTATGACTGCCATGTAATTATTATAGGAGACTGCCGTAAGACTGCCAATGACTGCCAGCGACTGCCAAGAAAATGTACAGGTAATTCCAATAGTGAGACACCCCTCGCAAATATCTAAAAGCTTGCCTGATAGTATTTTCCAGGTGTTCGACATTGTTTTAGTTGGCATAATACATTTCATATTTCAAAAATCCTCAAATACAGAAATAGAGAATGGACAAATCCGGGAGGCCATCGTATGAGTCCTTTGTTTCCATGATTTGAGAAATAACCATTTATAACCATTAATAAAGGGGTCGCACCACTCTGGCACTTTGTGCCATCGTATCGGTTTTTTAATCGCGGTGCGATCCCTTTAGACACACATTTATTAATACTAATATTATTCTGTAAAACTTAATGGGGTCTAATAAAGAAATTTGAATTTGAATTTGAATTTAACAAAATTCTAATATTTTCAAAGTTGTGAAGGGGAGCCTCATCTTGCTGAAAGTATATTTCACGTAAATTAGCTAAAAGTTCCGGTACGATAGCTTCCAAGATTAAAAATAGCGGTTGAGAGTTAAATTTCTCTGGTATATCGGGTGCGTCTCAAAAGTGGCTCACCCCTATAACATTTTTATTTTTTCAGATAAAAAAACGAAATTTGGTATGTTAGTATAAATAAGACATAAATTAGGATTGATTGACGTATTCAATTGTTTTCGGTCACTTCCTGTTGTGACCTTCCGGAAATGACTACAACTTTTTATTTTTAATGGCACCCTCGGTATTTTTTTACTTTATTCGATAAAAAATGACACTCTGAATCGAATGACATATCATATGTCAAATTTTGACATGTTTGTTTTTAATATAAAACACTAATTTTTAATCAAGGAGCCTTGAAAAAATAGACTTGATTGTCTAATGTTTTTAGTGTCTTGTCCTAGCCGGTTAAAAGATGACCAAATCGTATTTTCAATCATATCTCAATTTTTTCAAATGGGACAAGTGTGGCTCATTAGCATATTTGGAAAAAGCATTTTTTACGAATAATTTGATACCACACACTTGGTATTTCGAGTCAAATTGTCGTTATGAACCGCAGGTTACAATTTCAAATAAACTATATGCGAAAATGTCAAAAGTTGACAAATGATATGTCATTCTATTCAGAGTGTCATTTTCTATCGAATAAAGTAAAAAAATACCAAGAATACCATTTAAAAATCAAAAGTTGTAGTAATTTCCGGTGAAACCGAAAGTGACGGAAAACAATTGGATATGTCAATCAATCCTAATTTATGTCATATACTAACATACCAAATCTCGTTGGTTTATCTGAAAAAATAAAAAAGTTATAGGGGTGAGCCACTTTTGAGACGCACCCGGTATAAAGAATTTATTAGTGGCTCCCAAAATAAAACAAGAGACAGATAGCAGTATATTTTTAATAATTCTTTAATTTCTTTTATTATCAATCAAGGCCTATTAATAAATATGATCTTTTAACAAAAACTTTCAAATGCAGTAAATAGTAAAAAAATAGAGTGATATACATTTTTGACAAGTTTATAGCAAGCCCAATCATATAACTTATAAATATACAGGGTATTTAAGAAAACAACTATAGTTCATATCTTTAAAAATAATTCCTATTAGGTTAACTGTTCTTGAATAAAGCTAACATCCATTAGGTTCCATCAACAATAGATTTGAAGTATATTAAAAGACTTCTAAAAACATTCTTAAAAAATGGCTTACCACACTATTATAAACTCTCTCCAATTGTTCAGGCGTCGAACACATCTCAGTGTATTTATCTTCGGCGTAATCAGCAAGATTTTTATTGATCCTCCCCCTATTGCCCAATCTCATGAACTTAACACCATACTTGATCAGTCTCAGACATACATTGTCAACAGCGGAGTGTGTATGACTGGTTATTAAAACAGTCTTTCCCATCTCTACTAGCAACTGAATCAGGGCTACAATCGTGGCAGTTTTACCCGTACCTGGCATACCTTTGATCAACAAATATTCTTCTGCAGCTATGGCTTTTAGTACTGCCCTCTGTTGGCAGCGATTCAGCCTTTTGAGAATAGGCTTGGCCTTCTGGGCTACCATTTTAGGAATCTTTGGTCGAAATACTGGAGGAGGTCTAGTAAAAAATGAAGTCTCATTAATCTCATAAGAATATTAAAGTAAAATATTGGTCTATTTTACAACTTCATTTTGTTTGTTAAAAGATATCTTTGAATAAAAAGATTAAGGAAGGAACATATCAAAAAACTTAGATCGAACTAAAATGGCCGACTTGAATTCCGGTTTATCAGTGCTGTTCTAATTTTATTCAAAACGTGTAAAAATATGATGTAGGGTAGACTCAATAATTTGTTGTTTTATTTTACGTTGTCAATAAATGTTGGTAGTTATTAAAATTGTTAGAAAAATATAATAATTAGTTAATATTAAGGTTAAGTGAGTTTCATAAATGATCAGTTTATTACACGTTTGTGTATATTATATAGTCACTTACTAGCAAAAAGTTATTCCATTATTTCCCTCGATTTTTGACCGAGATCTACCGCACGCTACACATCCAACTATTTTACAATCTTTTTCGATAAATCGCAATAGTGTCACTGTTAATTTAAGTTCTGCCACAAAAAAATCCTTCTGGATTTACTACCTCGAAACAACTACCAGTTGTAGAATAAATAATAAATAACATAAAATAAGCTCAGTAAAGACTAACAATTCCACAACACTTCAAATCAATGTCAAATGACTCGTCATGCAGAACTGCCAAGTATCCCCACCCTAGGGCCCGACCTCCGTCGACCATGCATGAATACATAGCCATTATACTCCTTTCTTAATCTTTTTATTCAAAGAAGTTTATGAATATAAAGCTTCATTCAGAACCTTGCAAATAGTGAAATAAATTAGTGGTTTCAGTTGGCGTAGAAGTTTGTTCATCTAATTTCAAAGTAAGCATTCAGAACATCAAAATTAGTGGTAGGAATTTTCAATTAGTCGAAAAAGTTAATAAACTTTTCCACTAATTATATTTCAAAATTTGCGACGAATATCATTTTGGTCTTTGATGATCATCCGTCAAGACAAAATTTCGTTAGACATCAAAAGTTTATTGTTTTATAAGCTAAATATTGGGCTTTCTCTATGAATACAACTGACTACTGGAAGCTGTTGCTAGGTTATTTTATTAATTTTAAGTTTTTTAGACATTATGAATGATCCTAAACTAAAAAGTATAAAGTGTAATAATTGAAACCACTAATTTATCCCACTAATTGCGAGCTTCTGAATGAGAAGCTTAACTTATTCCTCTAATTTCGAGGTTCTGAATGAGGCTTTAATATAAAAACGATGCTAACCAAAATTACAAATAAATCTAACAATTCTGTACCCACCTGTCAATTATAATATGCCTAAGTTTATTTGCTTGTTCAGTCGTTCCTAATAATAAGTTTAAACTGGCCATATTAGAAGTTAATACTGAAGTAGATTCATATGAATCGAGAAAAAAACGTTGATTTTCGTATTTCTTTCTCAAATCTCTGAAACAAAATAAAATTTTGCATGAATCTTTTTATGCAGCGTACTCAAGAAAATTTGCCGCATATGGAAAATTATTTCTATGAATTCTAAATATCAATAAAGGCGAGTAGGGTCTTGGCGAGTGGTGTAAAAATGAGATACACCATATTTAGGTAAAAAACGAGACATTTAAATAAAACTACTGAAAACTTTGCAACAGAGGAACATTGCAGCAATAATAACATTGCAACAGAGACACCTTAGACAACTGTTAAGAATCAAATGGCAACAACATCTCAAATCTACAAAAATGGTCCCACAAAGCTAGCTGCTGAATTCACACAATAGATCTATAAGGTCGCGGTGATTAAGTCCCCTCCTAGCTGCTGAAATCATGATTACTAAATCCCGTTTAAGATGGGTTGGTCACGTATGGAGGATGCAAGAAAACCGTCTACCGAAATCTCTTCTTTACGGTAAGCTTGTAGACGGTAAGAGGAAACCGGGTCGACAAGTCAAAAGATACAAGGATATTTCCCATGAAAACTTGAAGGGGATAAGCATGCAGAACCAGTGTGAGGAAGCAGCGCACAACAGAACGCAATGGAGAAGAATTGTAAACTCAGTTAACAACGATAACCAAAAAGTAAAGAGACAACAAAGTAATAAAGATTTTTAAATGTCCGAATTGCGGAAGAGCCATATCTATTTAATCCTATTTTGATAAAATTCAGAGACTCTGTTTTGAAAAAAAAAATGAAAAACTTAAAATATATATTTTAAGACACACTGTACATTTTTCAAGCTTACCTTTCCAGGGTTACAACTATAGAGTTAACCGTTAATTCAGTTACAAAACCCGAGGCAACAGCGGGTCTGGATTCGGTACTGGCCACGATATAGCTACTATCCACGATACCGCTACTTAAAAAGTTGCCGTTCTGTTCAGAAAATCCATTTTCTTGAGAAAAATCGGTGAACGTGTGGCTATACAGTCCATTAGGTTCGGGTTTCACATTTACGAGTTTAAGATTTATCAAGCACTTACCTTTCTTCTTCCTAAAAAAGTTTGAATAAGGCCATTAATAAATAAAAGTCTGTGATACGTATTGTTTTAATATAAACGTAAAAATATTTTGTATATGAAGCTTTTTTGGCTTATCTCTATTATCCTCTTCAATTTAATCTTAATTTTGTTTAATTTATATTGATGCTGTGCGCTACTGTTGTATATTGAGTTTTTCATTATTTTTATGTATCAGTATACAGGGTGTCCCAGGCTGAGCGTGCATTAGAAGTTTCTAGAGAACTACAATATCTAGATTGGAGATTTTTTGCACATTATTGTTTCACAACGAGATCTATCGATTAAAAATATTTTTAATATGGCAGCACTTCCGGAAATACCGGAAGTTTACAGCAACTTTCTTATTTTAAATGGGTGCCCCCATTTTTTATTACATACTTAAATTCTCTGTAAAATGTTATGAATTTTGATTTCAAACACTCTATACCTAACATTAACCGTTTTTGAGAAAAAAAAAACATTTAAGATTCTTGGAGGAAAAAACTGCCTGTCAATAAAATCTGTATAGCCTAAACGACAAAACCTTTTCACTAGTGAAATAAAAAAGTGGGTTTCCATTTGAAAAGAATGATTTATGATAATTTTTTAATGGCTCAATTCCATGACAGCTATGGCGAATATTATATATATAATAATAATCGCAAACAGGCAGTTTTTTTCCTCCAAAAATTTTAAATATTTTTTTCTCAAAAACGGTTAATGTTAGATATAGAGTGTTTAATATCAAAATTCATAAAATTTTACAGAGAATTTAATTATGTAATAAAAAAATGGGGGTACCCATTTAAAATAAGAAAATTGCTGTCGACTTCCGGTATTTCCGGAAGTGCCGCAATATTGAAAATAGTATTAATCGATAGATCTCATTGTGAAACAGTAATGTGCAAAAAATCTCCGAGCTAGATATTATAGTTCTCTAAAAAATTCTAATGTACACTCAGCCTGGGACACCCTGTACACTAAACCACACCACACACAAGTTCGTTTTCAGTGCAATTTATTAAGATAATACGATGGAAAGGAAAATTTGTATCTGGTTATAATATAACAGTATAAATAAAATTTAAAAAACTCAAAAGCAAAAAAACCCAAGGCAAATGAACTAAAAAAAATAATATACAGAATGTCCCATTTAAAAAAAATAAGTGTAGTAATAATATAATAAGTAATAATAATAGTTGTAATAACAGTGCTTAAAGTATTAAAAAATGTTTTTACTTTTTTAAAGTTTGATGCCCTCTAACGGACAAACGAAGCACTTTTGTATAGAGGTAAATTGTGCCCAATGACATTTTGATTCCAAAAATAGGTACCAGTTAGTTCTATGTCCACGAAATATTGGGACACCCTGTATATGGTGAAAAAGGAGAGTACAGTGTTGTCAGGTTGCTGCTTTATTACTAATCTTTTTTTTAACTAATTTTTAGGATTTAAAAGAATCAAGATTGATTTAAATATAATTACATTTCTGTAACCGAGAAGAAAACTATGTTGAGTCCAAAATTGGGATATTTGAGACATTCCAAAAAATGTTGGTGTAATTTATTTAAAAAACTGTTTTACATTTCATTTAAGTTCAAAATAAGTTAGTCATATGCCAAATATTACAATCATACATTTAAAAATAACTGAGTAATTAGGAAATAACTTTCAAAAAAGAACTTTAAATTCGTTTTTCTCAAAACTGTGTTTTTTGACTTACATTTATGTAGTTTGCTTCTGGGGTACAGATTTGTTTTTCAAAAAAGTCACTTACCTCTCACTAGGAGAAAGAGTGTAGATATCTTTCATCTGTTTGGAGTCTTCTCTATTAGACATTTCCAAAACTAGTAACGAACTCCAATGCATGAAATAATCCACGTGAACCTGAGTTATAACGTCACTCACTTCGTCTGCCACACTTTGTAGATATGGAAATCTAGAAAGGTCTTCCTTAAAATATCTAAAAAAAAGAATTCTTTACAGAAAATCTATAAAATATGTATGGTTTATACTAAGAGCTGGCAAAAGGTTAGTTTTGGGTCGAGTCAAAGGGTCGAGATTTCCATATGTAAGAAGATTACAATGCATTTCTAATGTACTGAACAAAGAGAAAACAGTAAAAACGTTGCCAAACGTATGAAATAAACCGAGAAACTGTGCACATTGCTAAGATACGTGGATGGGGATATAGCAGATTCGTTTAGCCTCACGATTTAATTACGTCTTGTGATGCTTTATTTGTTTATTTATTAACGAGTCATTGTAATTTTCCCTTTAGCTTGTAAATTTTAAGTGCAAGTTAGAAACACTTGCACTTTTGGTAAAAATAAATGGAATTGAGTTGGTGTTCGACAGTGGTCGCGCTATTAGAACTCTGAATTCAAAAATCGATATCTCGAAATACATTAGAAATAATGGATTGTAGTTATTTTTTTCAAAAACTTTCTTAATATTTCTGCTATATTTTCTTCGCAGACAGTATGTGAAAATCTTTATAAATAAAAAAGTTACACGATTGCTGTAAATTGCTATGCACTAAAATTAAATGGATGGGTTTTTTAAAATTTTTAAATGGAAAAAACAAGCCTATCGAATTCTTCTTATTTAAACATCTTGTTAAAGATCCGAATTGCAAAAAAAAAGAAGTTTCAATATCTAATGTGGTTCTTGAGATATCGCGTGTTATGTGTTAAAAACTTGAGTTTTTAAATTATCGCGATTACTGACGTTTTCTCGTTAAAAAAATGGACACCTTAACGATATCCTTATAATTCCATTTCAGATGCTCAGAAACATATCTAATGATTTTATCTAGTTATCTTCTCGAAAAAAATATATTTTAAAAATAAGCGGTTTGCGATCGTGACTTTACTTTACTTGATAGAGAAAAGCGTACCGGAGAAATGTGGCAACGCCGCAACAGCACACCGTCGCATTTCTCTCATTCCGACTTAATAAGATCATATAGCATTGGAATACATAACTGCGCTATCACTATCATTTCTATTTGCAGCATTGTCAAACTATTCGAAATTATCAGGATAATAAACTATGCAGTTATTAGAAAACTTATACTGCTACATAATAATAGAAGAAATATATTAAAGAAAAAAATATTTCACCTGGCATGAGCTACACAAACAACATTATAAGGACAATTGGCGCAAGACTTGTGGTTTATAGGTTCAGGTATTTCGTGAGGTTCTACGAAAATCTGCTCTCCTTGATCTTTTGTTACTTTGGGACGTTTAGACAAATAATACGCCATTTCGTTACGTAGGATCATTAAACCATTTTTTTCGGCTTCTGTAGGTGGTATTTCTTTGAGAGTTCCTTCCCTAAAAATATTAGTAACATAAATACGAGCACTTGATAAAAAACTTGAAAAAGAAACACGCAATGTTCAAAAAATACAAATAACAGAAAAATGTTTTTTTAATCTGAGGTGTCACCATCGAGACAAAGAGAAGGCTAATATCTAATCTGTCTTACCTAACAGAATAAAGAAACATTATATCTAGACGGAGCTTAAGAGTCCATTTCACTAGTCCGAAAAAGTAACAAAATAACCGTTCGGTATTTAACGTTTTATGTAAAACTGGCTAGGTATTTTTACACAAATGAAGAAGGAAATTAAAGATAAAGGATTATACTATATCCGTATTGTAGCACATTTTTAGACAACTTCTTTATTTTTAAGATTTTGATGGTCAACATCAACAAAATATTCCTTATGTTAGGACTAAATTTTCTCGAAAATAAAGACATAATTTAAAATTCCGTTACAATACGGAAATAGATTGAAGCTTTGTGATTACAGTGATATATAATTTATATGGTTTTATAACAAATTGCTCGCTATTTTATGGCAAATGCTGAAGCTCTGCAAACCTTAATCAAGCCTTAATCAAAGCACGTGTGTTTGGAATTTTGGGTGTGGCTTAACACGACAGGATCGGGCCAAGCCTTAGGTAGATTTCTGAAATATACACGGTGGTCCGAACTGTATTCCGGAAACTTCGGCCGCATATTCTGCAGATTAAAATAAGTAAAAAAGTTCATATAAATGCTTAGTTTTAGAGATGGTGTAGAAGTTTCATTTTTATTTCGATTTTTTCCAAATAATTTATGAAGTAACGTCAATATTTGGATGAAAATTGGTGTCTGGTAGTTTTTGGGCATGAAAAATTTGATTTTCATGTCAATATGACTCCTACTTGTAGAAGGTGCCACCTACATATGCTTTAACTCTTTCAGGGTCAGTGGTATATAAATGTACCTGATCAAAAATTGATTCAATGGGGTAATGGTCCAAAAAATATACTACTTATTCAAAAGCTGGTAACTTGTTGCTCAGTGGTTTCATTTGTGGACCAACAACATTTATCGCGTGTCTAATCGTGTATTTTTAATGTTACATTAGCCAGTGCGCCGCTCTCACACTCAGGCGTATTCTAGGTTAGACGATGACAGAAAAAAAGCAGGTGGATCATACCAATCTATTTATTTTACTAAAAAAAGTTTCTAATCAATTTTTAAGTTAACTATGGATGGGTTTAAATATAAATCCGTCATGCGTCGTCTCTTGTTGTTTTTAACCAGTTTTATTGGTTTATTTCAAAAATGACAGATGGTATTTCAATTTTATTGGTTTGACGGAACGATGAAATACAAACGGACGCCGATATATATGAACTCGCCTTTAGTTTTGACGCTTGTCAAAGTCTTGCCAAATTAGAGGTTATAATTTTGCAGTCAACTTTTGTCATTTTTGTCAAATACCCTGCGTGTTTGAAGATGGCGCATTTTGATTCGTGTTATGACGTGTGTTTTGTGTCTTTTGAAGTTAAGTGAAGGAAAAATCGAGTGAGGGTTAATCACTAGACCTTACAGATCCATTGAGTCACAGTTTATGGAATAATACTCGCTTCATACCAGGCCCAAAGTCTTTGATACACCCCAATAAAGAGGGACCATCATATAAAGTTCGTTCTACCATCTCGTCGTCAGATAAGTATCTCGAATATGGTACGAAGGACCATACTAAACACACTCAGTGAAACTGGAGTAGCTGTAAAATATCTACATCACACGATCGTAAATAATGGATTTTAGTACTGCACAAGAAAAATAATGCCAAAGGTACTGGTTTAAAAATTAAGATTAAAGTTAATTAACCAACCTTTAAGGTACCCATAAAATTTGGTAAGTGTTATTAATAATAAAATAGTTTGTTTTATTTATGTTGTTTTATTTATTCCTGCGGAATATTACAAATTTGTATTTGTACATAAGTTATATTGATAAATATAATCATAAATGCGGGAAGCTTCATAAAGCTTGAAAGTTCGCTCCTTTCCTAGCTAGATTATTTGCTTTTCATTGCCTTCTATCCCTTGGTGAGCAGGCAACCAGTGTATGTGGTGTCTTGTTCTTGTTTGTTTAATTTATTAAGCACATACCATTCTTTTATTAAATTCGAATAACTCGATTACATTTTTTGAGTTTTATACAGCTTTTTCACAATATTTTGAAGTAATCACTTGTCAGTAAAATTTTAAATATAATAATTTCCTAAGCTATGCGTTCGCAGTTGTACCAACTTATTTCTTTGTAAAATACTAATAAACTACTTTGGTTAAAATGACAGACACATCTATCACTGTCAAGGATCTTCTGTTGGACAGACTATACTTATTCAAAGCTGGTAACTTGTTATGGTCAGTGGTTTCAACTGTGGACCAACAACATTTATCACGTGTCTAATCGTGTATTTTTTAATGTTACATTAGCCAGTGCGCCGCTCTCACACTCAGGCGTATTCTAGGTTAGAAAATCGCTACACTGGGAGTTGGATTAATGATTCGGTGTGTTTTTAGTGATCATAAAGGTAAGCAAATGTGATGTTATTATTAAGGTTCGTAGTCTAGATATGTTGCAGTAACCCATTATTACTTATTAACTTGTGAAAGAATCGTTGTCAGTTTTGCTTTGGTAAAATGTTTCAATAAATATTATGATATTAACATGTACCACCGCCCTGTGACGCATTAAGTTTGTTGCTAAAGTCTCTAGTTTTCTTTGTACAGATAAAATGGATCATTTGCCGTTCAAATTAGTGGAGAATGTTATACGATGAGCTCATGGAGAGCATAAAAGACATTCCATCTGATGTAGATTCGGTTGTTGACGTCTCTGAGGAAGAAACAGATATGATGGATAATACTCAAGATATAATTATTATGGAACCTAATCTGGAAACTGATAGTGAAGATGACCCAGAGGATGATTTACCCCTCTCAGTTTTGCAGTCCCAATTAAGAGCCTCCTCCTCCTGCAACGTAGGTGACAGTCGTGATTGGTCAAAAACTATGCTTCCCGAGAAACCAGGTGATTTTGTTGACGACTTTGGAATAACCGATATTGTAATGAATATGGACACCCTAACACCTGGAAAGCTTTTCCAGTTATTCTTCACAGATGAACTTTTGGATTTCATTGTTTTCCAAACCAATTTGTACAGCAAACAGACTTCTACAGCGCCAAAAATTATAACTCGTCAGGAATATGAATTAATATGTATTCACGTTGCTGCTCAGTGGTACTAAAATTGAACCACCAATTTTCTGTGAAAAAAAAATCATTTTAATATTCTCTTAGATTTTATATAACTAGAATTCTTTTCTGTTCTTAGAAAAAAAGTTAAGATAAATGATTTTTTATTCGCTGCCCCTCTAGACCTTTTTTGTAGATAAATCTCCTGCCCCTGAAAGACCTTTTTTGTAGATAAATCTCCTGCCCCTGAAAGAGTTAACTGGTTTGAAGAGTAATAACTTTTCGTTCGTACCTGTATAAAACTACTGAGTAAAAAAATATACATTTACAACTCTTTCTACATAATAAAGGTCTCTTGGTAAAAATCGCTACGAGTAATGGTTCTCGAGATATTAGAAATTGAAATTATCAATACCTGTCATCATTGACGAATTAAACATATGTTAACTAAATAGTTATTAGACTGAAATCTTAAACTTGAAATCTTTTTGTGCGAAAAGTTCAACAGAAACTGTTTAATCATCATTTTTTCGCAGAAAATTTATGATTAATTTAAAAAAATAAAAATTTATTATTTCAGTCAAATAACTCTATTCAAAAGTGTTATTATTTTTGTCAATAATGACATGTATTGACTATTTCCATTTTAAATATCTTGAGAACGGTTGCTCGTAGCGATTTTACTAAGAAACATTTTTACGAAAAGTCATGGAAAGTGCATTCATTAGTCGCTACCATGTGAACTAGGTCTGTCGAAAAAGTTACTCTTCAATACAGTCAAATTCATGTAGGTGGCGCCCCAAATCAAATAGGGGTCAATTTGACATCAAAATCAAATTTTTCGTGTTACAAAACTCCCAGACACCAATTTTCATCCAAATATTGTCAAAACATATATTTGGTAATAAATATAAAATGGAATGCCCCATTGGTCGCACTGCAAGCACACCAATGGACTCACGCACAAAAACGAATCAATCAAAGAAACGCGATATAGTATCGTCTTTGTCAATCACGCTAACATTTTAGAATAAGTAGGAGGAGCGCAGGCAGATGATTAGACCGGTCCTTTAAAAACCTACGTCTGCGGTAAAAATTTACGTTTTTAATGTAAAAATTATAGCGCGCGTGTCGATTCTAACTTCATCAAGCGATGAATCACTCCCAAACATTCGTGTCGTTTACTCTAAGAGACATTTTATACGTAAAAAGTCATGGAAATGCATATTTTTTTAGTCAGTAGTTTTATACAGGTACCGTCGAAAAGTTATTACTCTTCAATACAGTCAAAACGCATGTAGGTGGCGCCCCCTACAAATAGGGGTCATTTTGACATCAAAATCAAATTTTTCGTGTTACAAAACTCCCAGACACCAATTTTCATCCAAATATTGAGGTTATTTGAGAAATTATTTAGAAAAAATCGAAATAAAAATGAAACTTCTACACCCAGAATCTCCGAAAGTAAGTATTTTAGGACATACATTTATACGAACTTTTTTACTTATTTTTATCTGCAAAATATGCTGCCAAAGTTCCCGGAATACAGTTCAGACCACCTTGTATATTTCCTTCGGCCACACACCCGCTTTACCCGACCCCTGAGAGCAACCCGAAAGTACAGCGTAATAGCAGAGTACCTAAACCGACGAGTAGCGACAGTCTCGTTTTCAATTTTCTTTGCGGCTGCGCGAAATAAGTAGGTTATCTGTCATACGAAGAAGCGAAGTTGCCACCGTTGCCATTTATCAAATATCTCTATATACTTTATTTCAAGTACACCTCAGGCAACGAATCGTTTTTTTAATTATTTATTAGCAGTAAGATATTTTATACATTCAAATTTAGAAATAAGGATAAAACAAAACAAAAAAGATATGTATAAAACTTTATAATTAACTCCATTTCAAATTGTGAGCAGTGTATACCATGTTTATAGGACCACTTCATAAGTTGAGCAGTTAAATACGTAGTATATCTGTCAAACACGTCAAAAGAGAGAGAAAGAAAATTTGGTCCCACCACATCAAAAGAGCCGACGGTTTCTGTCGCTACTCGGCGATCTACGTACTCTGGTAATAGACTCTTAATAGTAACTATTATTTACAGGGGTGCTTAGTATTAATAAAATTATAAAATAACTTACTTCAAATATAGAAGTAATCCTGATGAGACTTTGTAGCCCAGTTTGTTCATCATCAGGATATACAATAAGACCTGCCCCCTATGTTCAACAGACACTGATGCTCTTCCTGTTTTAACTTCAAGGGGCATAACTTTATTTCCATATTTTATTGTTACATCTACCTTGCCTGTTTCAAGAAACAACGGAATATTTTAAATTTTAATATAACTTTTAACAAGAAAAATATATTTTAAAATTTAAAAAAATGTTGAATAAAAAAAATAACTTTGTCTTCAATAAAAATTAAAGCAATATTTTATTGTTATTTTTTTAGGTTTATTAAAAAAAACGGCGTCCAGTTGGCTTGGAAATGACAATTGATGATATTCCCCATGCAATTTTACATATAAAATGACAGCGATCTTCATTTCATAGCCATCGCTGACGTCGTTTTTATTCAATCATATTGTATTACTATTCTATTTTCACTTCTATAGGTATATTGAATATAAATGAGAGAGCTTCACAATATGCATTGTTGCCAGTTGCTTTGACCAATGAACGAGAATCGTATCATGTAATTATGTTCTTCATGTTCATGATATTGCATTTAAAATATGGTACAACACAATTAAAATACCTATTTAAACAATTTGATCGAAAAAAACAGCGTCTTGGTACTTTTATTCAATGGTTTAACAAGAAAAAAACAGAAACTAAAAACTGATCTTTATTTTTGTAATTAATATTTATTAACATATATACTTACCCTTCCATCCCAAATCTGGACACCAAATATTTTCTTCAATATCCTCTATTTTTGAAATGGTACCTTTCCAATCACCCTTTTTCGGTGGAGCAGCAGGGAATTTGGTACGTCCCTCGATATATTTGTCTAAAAACTCACGGATCTTTGGAATGTAGAAGTAAAAGTCTTCCTTTATGGCCTCAAATTTGTCTCCACTGGCATAGATGTCCTTGATCTACAAACGATACCGCTAAATAAAATGTATAAAAAAATATATTTCCTTTTTTTAACTGTAAAATATTATTAATTTTCTATTAATCTCAATTTTATAGACAAACTACAAATCCGTTATACCACAAACTAATTTTCGATTTATTTGGTGCTTCTAATCTAATATCTAATCGTTTAGTTACAATAATCCGTGTCGTATGTGGTGAATAACCCTGTATACACGTGTGGCAAAATTTCATTAGCAATAGGAGGTTTTAAATGAGATAAAAAAAGATGGTAAGGTGCAAAATACACTGCAGTACAACAGAGACGGATAAAGTGTCTTTTCCCTACCATTGTATAGGGGAAGTGATCATAGAAGTGATACGACGAGAGAGCCTCTGCGTGAGGGGGCGGGTCTTTAAGACGCTTGTGTGGGGGCTACCGGCTACTAATAGAATAGAATCGAAAAAATAGAAATGGGTAAGGGGGAAAACGAAGGACAGTGTAGCCATTCTGTTAAATCAAAATTATGTTGGCTTATCCTAAATCCCGAATCTTCTAATCCCATTATATTGCCTACTTAATGAAATATTAAATAAAGTACAAAACAATTTTAAGAATGTGTTCTCTAGGCACATAACAACTTCTTTCTAAAACAAAAAGTAACATGCAGAACTTTGAAAATAATTTCTAAAATAGCAAGTGCAATTCTATGAAATGGCAATACTGTACGATCTTCCTTCCAGTCGCCCCGACACCGACCGGTCGGTCGGCGGCGGCGGTGACAAAGGAATTAGGCCCAAAAAACTTTATAAAGGAGTAGCTGAACAGGGTTGCCGGGTTTGTTAGATTATAATTCCATACGAGAACAAAATTATCCGTAGATCTCCAACAAAAATCAAAAGAAAATAAAATATAATATTTAAGTCTAAAATTAGCTTTCCTATGTGTCGTAATACTAGATCACTCAAATAAAATACAAATATAATAAATATAACAAGAATTAGAAATAGCTAGGTATATTATATTCAGTGCGAGATTCTGAATCATACGTTCTGCTCGCCTGGGGTAGTTTTGTTTTAAAGTTCGACATTTCGTGATTTAGAGGTTTGGCAATTTCAAGGCCACGCTTTTGATTGGAAAATTTTGAGGTTTGCATAGGAGAATGGGATGGGACAGTGATTTCCCCAGTATGGTCTTGGGAGATAAGCTAAGGCTCGCGTGGGCAGGGGCACGTCGCTGCGTGACATTAGGGAAGTGGCAGGTAATATTGGTTAAATACAGCACAAAACAGGGAGACATGGAAAAGGATAGGAGAGACCTATATCCAGGAGTGGATGAATCCGGGTTGAGGAAAAGGTATATTATTTAATATTAAAAAAAATATATTGAATTAAACAATATTAATATATTAATAAAAACTATAACAAGTAGGGATAGCAGTCACTTTTTACCTTTGTACAAATTTTGATCAGTGATATCTAAAATTAATTTCATTTCAATGGGAAAGCTGTAGCTACTCTCAACTCTTTTTTCATATTAATATATTTTTTTGACAGGAAAAGCACTAAAATATTTATCCGTATTCAGTTTGTTTCTTAACTTATATTTTGTTTTTTGTTTATATTTTTTTTGGGGAAAATATGGATTCAAATTTAGTAGATGAATGAAACAAAATCTTTTCAAAAGATATCAACTTCTTCAGGCATATCGCCAATACCGCGCCTAATAAAGAGTAATAAGGATTTGTAACTCTACAACTAGACAGAACGATGACCTATGATTACTAAATAAAATTTAATAAACAATAATAAATTCAGATTAGACTAAAGACGCAGTTGAACGTATCGTTAGATTTTTGTTTAAAGCCGGAGTCTCATGCATCCGAAATCCGATGGTACGACATCCGAAATTTGAAGTTATAGTGTGAAATAAAAAAGCCTGTTACATATATCCGAAAGTTCGTTCCGAAATTTGACAGTTTTGACATTTAGACCTGTCATTCCTATGTATTATTATTATGTATTATTCCATGTATTATTGGAGAAACACATAAAAATAACTTCCTCGCCAAATATCCCGAAATTGCCCACTTCCCACTAAACTTGATTTTAAAAACCAATGTTTTCAAAAAAAGTGAGGTTAAAAAACACACGATATTGTACAAAAGTTAAACAAAATTTAACTTTATACGACGTCGGACGATTAGTTAAAAATATCGGATAAAAATTGATGTCAAAATATTTCGACCAATAGGAGCACCGTTGGATCGTCGTGTCATCGGATTTCGGATGCATGAGACTCCGGCTTTAATCGGTAAATCGGTAGCATACAGACGAAACAGGTAGACCTGGCAACTCTGTGATGGACTGACATGATGGCGTTTTGCGGTGGCGCGGGAAGGGGAATAAAATATTGGAGATAAAGGGCAGGTGGATGGGTATCATGGGTGGACGGGAGGCGGCGGAATTTCCAAATCTTATTGGAGTTTGTCTAACTCGACAGTCGTAGTGGAAGTGGGAACGGGGAAGTTGTTGTCCATCTCTGTTTAAGCTTAGACTTTTTATAGGCGTTTCATTCCAATGCATGTAATTCCTATGCCTAGATATCCTATTACCGGACCTGTATTACTCTTACTAGAAGAAATTGAGTTGTAAAAAGGAAAAGTTACATGCTCAATTTTGTAATATTGATTTTATTGTAATAATTATGTGGATAATAATATAAAAAATAAGTAAATAAATAAATCACAAAACAAAATCATGCAAACCTTACTGAGTTAAGTTGATACAATATATCTTCTGCACATTTTTCTATATCTTTAAGCTGGTATATATTTTTGACAAGAACCTCCTGAAGAAGACCATGCACCATATATCCAATAATCATAAATCTGTTTGTTGGATCATAGCCACGATACCTTTCAGCAAAAATAAGTTTTCTTTTGCAGAAAATGGCATCTAAAAACAATGTAAAATAAATAGGCATTTTGTGTTTATTTTAATAAATTATATTTATTATTCTTACTTGATATACTGGAAGCAGAAAAAAGAAAATCAGGGTCATAAACCAATAAACCGTTTTTATTATCCAACAACCATTCATTTTCTGCAGTTTTTTTAGCTGATATATTAACAGTATCTCCAATATTGAGCTTAGTATCAATCCTAAAAAACATTTTGTAATTTAATGAAAAAAATGATCTAACTTACTTTACCAGATACTTCTAAGTCTACAGATTGCTTTTTCATTAGAACTTGTTGATTTCACTGTAAGAATTACATCAAAGTTTTCTCTATCAACATTTACTACTTTACAATGCTGTAAATTTGATAAGTCCAAGTTATAATTATCAAACTAAAAACAAGATATTATATTTAATTTTTTGTACAATAGGTACACTGAAAAATCACCAACCATATCACCATCCCAACTATCATCAAAATCAACATTAATCAGATCAACATTTTCTTTGTTGTTTAATTTAATCTCTGGGCCGGAAACTGTAGATATTTTCTTTTCACAAGATGAAAAATCTAACTTTCCTCTGACTTTTCCAGTTGGAGAGAAAACTGTAGTATTAGAAATTTTGTTTGGGGTCGTTTCATTCTTAGTTTGTGCTTTTTTTCCACTACTATCACTCTGCCCCTTCTTACTAGGCGTAATTCTAACAAAGTTCTTTAAAATTTCTACATTAAACTCATTCAAATTACTAGGAGACCTAGTGAATATCTTTTTAGGAGTTTTTTTGCTGCTTGATTTTTCCCCATTATTTTTCTTTGACGAATTTGCGTTTGGAGATTTTTTGGAACTGGTAGATGGTACAGTTTTGATTTGTTTCTCGGGAGTTGACAGTATATGTATATTTTTACTTAGAGAAGCAGCTTGTACATCAAATTTGTTTGATTCTTCTTTATCTGGACAACTAAAATAGCAATACACTATTCAAAACTGTAACAATTAAAAAAAAGACAATGTACTTACTTTTCTAAATCTTCTTCTATAGAATTATATGTTTTTAAGGCACTGGTTGATAATAGGTCTTTTATATTCTTTAGCATTAAACCTGACTCTGAAGAATTGATTCCAGATGTTGATGGTTTTGTGCAATTACTATCGTTAGTATCTTTCATACTTAAGCCTGAATAAAGGATACATTTAAGTTAGTATATATAAACCCTAAAAATATATATGTTTTGTACCTGATTTTTCTTCGCAGTATACTTTCTTTAAAGGTGGACTAATACTTGAGCTTCCATTGTATTTTCTTTTATTCAAAGACTGTTGTTTTATCTCTAACTTATCTACACTATCATCATCAGAGTCTAGAACTATTATATCACCAACTACTTTAGACTCGACTTTTTTAATTATATCTACTCTCTTCGTAGATTGTACAGCGAAATAAGACGATATTTTTTTACAGCCCTAAAATAACAAAATTAAAAGTGAAGAAACTTGTAATTTCTATATTTACTTACATGAGAAGCTTTAGATTTAGCTGCTGTCTTTTTCATTATTCTTCTTGTAGACAAAATACTATCCTAAACTGAATTAATGCATAATTTTAAACATTTAATTCTAGAGTTTTAAATTTTAAATTCAATTTCTTAGGGTATTTAAATTATGATTAAATTTGAGGTTATCCGTAATGTTATTGTCAAAAATTGGCGGGTAAAATTTTTTGAACAAGGTTGTCAGTTCTAGTTAAATAAATAATATTAAAAAACTTACATAAAATATTGCTAATTCTATATACTGAACTAAATTTTATTAACATTATTATGTATATTTTCATATTTTCCCAATATATCCGATTTTAAACGGATCGGAAAATTATAAAAATAATTACTATAAAAATTACATGCGCAACGTCGCATATTTTGGTAAAATAGAAAGTGACATTACCGAGAAGGTCAAACAACTGAGAATTTTTACGAGCTGTCAAAATCTGTTTTCAATTATTTTCCTTTTGTGAAAATCAACTTAGAACGGTGAATTTTCGCTGTATTTTCCGCGATTTCCTACCGGTAACAGTGCGTTTAGAATGGCCACAAACATGGAAGAGGAACAGGCGTTACGTGAGTGCGAGGCATACGTACAAAATCATAACATTCAACAAATTTTAAAGGATTGCATCGTGCAATTGTGTGTAAACCGTCCCACGAACCCTATTTCCTTTCTAAGGGAGCATTTCCAGAAGTTAGAAAGGGTAAGTGGTCGTTTATCTTTAATTTTTCTTTTATGCCACAGGGCTCATAAGTGGTTATGTTGACTTACGTTTATATATCTAAAAAATGCGGTTAGAAGTTATTATTTTTTACAAGGGTAGAATTTATTAGGGCTTTATTTAAACCTAATTATCATATTTTTCAAATAAATAACAATTTAACGAAAGAATGAAACTAGAGCTTTTTATTTACTTTGTTTTGCAACACTGTTATGTTGGTTATTTTGTTATTTAACAGTTGAAAAACTATCTGCGTTTTTCATTGGTTTCAAATAGTCCTGGTAATTCTCTGACGTCACAGAGATCTAAAGAAGTCATCTCTAGTTGCCTAGGCAACGAATTGTCTCATTGTTGCCAGAATTTGTACGGTTTTCTCTAATTCTCGTAAGATACCCTTGTCTAAATTCGAAATTGTTCATTTTTTTAAACAATTATCTTAGAAAACGTTTTGGAATATATAATTTAACAGGAATAAAACTTGTCAGACGTTTGAGGTCAAAGAATTTATTGCATTTAAGCGAGTTTTAGAATCAATAAAAAAGAAAGCTGGCAACGCGAGGGTAGTTTTTTACATCCCAGAACGGAATTCGGTCAAGAGCAAAATTCGTGCGGTTTAAAAATTTAATTTCGCGTTCAATTGGGACCTGATCAATTAGGGCTGTGTTTCCGTTGCTAATTACGGGGGGTGTAAACGTTCACCCCCTTCGCTAAACAGTTATGTCTATGAGATTGAGAGTGGTAAGTTCTCAGTAGGTATGTAGGTTTCAAAAGTTCTATTATCATTTAACGATTTTCTCTTTAGATGGTGTGTTGCATGTAGACAAAATAATAGTAAATAGATGTAAAATGAATATAAATATGTATAACTACATGAATAATAGTTGTACGTTGTACGACTATTTTTTTGTGCTTCAACATAAGATAATGTAGTTAAGCAGGCTATGAATTGCATTTTAATGATTTTATTTATTTTTAATTTTTTCTTTAATTTATTTCTTCCAATTAATAATTATTCTCACAATAATTAAAAACACTGATAAAGAAGAGATGGTGTACCTATAATTTATTATTAATTACGAGATTAATTATAATTATTATTGTAATACTACACTAACTGACACTAAATCGGGCACCTTAAAATTTTGATGAATTTTAAAATTTTAACATATTTTGTTCCAGGTTTTGATAATTTTTTAAGCAATTTGTAGCTAAATTAATGGACTTTTTAGTACCTATCTCTATGAAAGTTCCCGTCTGTCCATTATACGACGGAAAACAAAATGTTGATATTTTGGTTGTATCGAGATTTTAACGTAAAATCGTAAATATGTATTTCAAAAATGGTAAGATTAAACGGTGCGGTAAACCCTAATCAAATTTACCTTTATTTTAATCGTGGAAACTAAAAATGTAATAATATACAGGGTGTTCCATGTAAAAAAATACAACTTTGATATTTTTTCTTTTTCTCTATGTGAGACACTCTGTACCTTTTGAAAATAATTTTAAATTGTAGCTTTAGTTGTCCTCCAACGACCCCATCATTCGCACTTTCTAGAAATCCAATCATTTGGCCACAATACTCCGTTTCAAATGAGGTGAATAACCCTGTATATATTATATGTAAATAAATTGAAATAAATAGAAGGTATAATCATTGCCTGGAAACTTATATGGTGAAATTTTGATAAAATAATTTAATACTCACTAAAAACACGGTATGTCGCTAGTGGTAGGAAAAATAATTTTTAGAGGTTACTAGTTTATTTGGTTGCCTGTGATATGCATATACAGGGTGTTTCCTAATTAATCTAAAAAATAAAAAATCGTTAGAAAACAGCTTAAGGCTTAAGGCTCTTGATAAGTATATTTATTTTTTTTTCTCGGCAACCGTTTGATCAACAAGAAAAACTCAAAAGATCAATTTTGTTGAAAAAGGATGGCCAGTCAAGGAAAAAATATATTTTCTTTAAAAAGCGGTAGTGTACCATTTATGTTAAGCAAAATATCGATTTTTTTTTTAATTTTTAACACCCTGTAGATCAGAAAGGAAGTACTTTAGACCCAATAGTTATATAAAAATTGTTTTAAGAACACATGAGGAATCACACCACAATTTTTTAGACTAATTAGAAAACACCCTGTATATTGTCAACTTGACAATGATTATTGATAAACCAAAAAATACCTTTTCTGTGAAAAAAGCCCGATTTTCGCAAGAAAAATTTTGGTTTTATTGAATTTGGGCCCATCTGCAAATACCGGTATGTTTTTTAATATTCTATCTATCTAAAATTTAAATATAATAGTCAGAAATAGTTTTATTATTTATTAACTGTAAAAATGGTATACTTATAATTTATCAAATATTGTGATTTACTTTCTATCTTGTAGTCAAAATTTATATTTAATAAACTGTAAAATATATATATATATATATATATATATATATATATATATATATATATATATATATATATATATATATATATATATATATATATATATATATATATATATATATATATATATATATATATATATATATATATAAGTTACTCTGATATACTAATATATCAGTGTAACTTTAAAACTAAATCCTTTGAAATCAAATATAAACATAAAAAATATTTACAGCAGAAAAGGCGAAGGCGCTGGGTTAAATGTAGTCTCTACTAAGAACACGGAGGGGCGCTTTGACCCAAAATTTTACTATTAAGTTTCATATCTATCTTAATAGAAGATTATTTTCTTTTATCTATGGGTATAATATAGTTAGACTTGTTGATATTTTTTCTAGCCTCTTGTATACAGGATTGTTCACCATATATGACACAGAGTATTGTAGCAAAACGATTAGATTTTTACAAATTGAAAGTTTTGGGTTCGTTGAAGGACTATTAGAGCTACAATTTAGAAATAATTTTACAAGATACAGAGTGTTCCAAATATCTGTTGGTTTAAAAAAGCATTCGTCAAAAAATGAAATAAAATTTATAATACAGTCAATTAATGTAGTTTGAATATACTGGGCTCATATTAATGAGGACCAACTTTAACAAAAAATATTTAAACAATTTGTTTATTTTTTAATAAAATAGGCGAACTATATCGACAATATTAGTATCTGGTCTCTTTAAAAATATGTTACATCTTTAAAAATAATCTAAAATGTCAATGTCAAATGAGGTCTAAATTTAAAAAAATGCATTTTCTACAAAAACTTGAAGAGTTAAGTAAAAAATGGTATAATACAATTTGATAGACAATTAAATTGCGCATCTGACGCGCGTAAAATATACAGGGCGTTCCATTTAAATTAAACAAGTTATTTCCGTTTAAAAGTAGTAATTATTTAATATAAATTTTTGGACACTCTGTATAAGGTAGTATATTTTTTTATTGCAGTGAAACCTGAATCAAATTTACCTTTATTTCAATCGTAGAATCTAATAGAATAATATACAGGGTGTTCCATTTAAAAATAAATTCAACTATAATATTTTTTACTTATTTGGGACACTCTGTATCTTGTAAAAATATGTTTAAATTGTAGCTCTCTAATAGTCTTCAACGAACCCAAAACTTACAATTTGTAAAAATCTAATTGTTTAGCTACAATCAGAGAAATAGAAGGGATAGAGAATGAGCGTCAACATGCGCAGAAGGTCTAATCAAGTTGGGCGCCATATTCCAGGTCTTCGTGTCATTTTGTATATAGGTGGTAATCTATAAGTAATCAAATATCAATTTGCTGTTTTCAACCATACGGGGGGCAATTTAAATTTAGTGAAATTCTATCATTATGGTTAGTTAACATTAATATGATTTATTTAATTATCAGTTTCAAAACTGCGTACAATATTGGTATATAATACACTAAATATACGAATATTCTGACAAAAGACGCTACGGACAGATGACCTTTTCGTCGTAAAACACTCGAAATGATATTAAATAAGTATTTACAATATTTCATGTTTACTTGTACTGAATTACGCGTTTCAATTTAAAATTTTTGCAAATTTGGTAAAAATTGTTCTAAACAACTTTTTGTTCAAGTTGTATATTCATAAAAAACATTTGGTTCATAATTATTTTTGATGATTATCTACCTTGTATTTTTAATATAAACCTAGAAAAAATATGTTTTTGTTTTATTTTTTTTATTCGTCCCTTCAAATTATGTTTCAAAAACTGTTACATAACATGTCCTCTAACAAATATTTTCATAATACATAAACATCATTGATTTTATTAAGGGTATTATTATTAGTATTTATCCTGGTTTTTGTCGACAATAAAAACTCAATCTTGTAATAGAACATCAATTTTATATTTCGTAAAATTATTTTGATACAAATTCGATTTGTCAAAATTCAAGTCATTAATATATTGATAAACAACCCAAA